ATGCTGGCTGGCGCTGATGGGGATCATGGTGCAAAACATCTGGAAGGCTCCAGGCACAGAAGAAATGCGCTTTAGCTTTTCGAAGCCGAAGCCAAGATGCCCAAGGGGAAGAAGGCCAAGGGGAAGAAGGTGGCTCCGGCCCCTGCCGTGGTTAAGAAACAGGAGGCCAAGAAGGTTGTAAATCCTCTCTTTGAGAAAAGGCCCAAGAACTTCGGCATTGGGCAGGACATTCAGCCCAAACGGGACCTGACTCGCTTTGTGAAATGGCCTCGTTATATCAGACTTCAGCGCCAAAGAGCCATCCTCTACAAAAGGCTGAAGGTGCCTCCAGCAGTTAACCAGTTCACTCAAGCATTGGACCGCCAGACAGCTACTCAGCTTCTGAAATTGGCCCACAAATACAGGCCTGAGACGAAGCAAGAGAAGAAGCAGAGGCTGCTGGCCCGTGCAGAGCAAAAGGCTGCAGGGAAAGGCGACGTCCCTACCAAGAGGCCTCCTGTGCTCAGAGCAGGTGTCAACACCGTTACAACTCTGGTGGAGAACAAGAAGGCGCAGCTGGTGGTGATCGCACACGATGTAGACCCCGTTGAGCTGGTAGTTTTCCTGCCTGCCTTGTGCAGAAAAATGGGAGTGCCCTATTGCATCATCAAAGGCAAGGCAAGGCTGGGCCGCCTTGTCCACCGAAAGACCTGTACCTGTGTTGCCTTCACTCAGGTTAATCCCGAGGACAAGGGAGCTCTAGCTAAACTCGTGGAAGCTGTCAAGACCAACTACAATGAGAGATACGATGAGATTCGTCGTCACTGGGGCGGCAATCTTCTGGGGCCGAAGTCAGTGGCCCGCATTGCTAAGCTTGAAAAAGCCAAGGCTAAAGAACTGGCCACTAAACTTGGATAGATGTATCAGATTTTCCTCAAGAAGTTATTCCCATAAAAATAAAATACTGCAAAAAAAAAAAAAGAAGAAGAAGAAGAAGAAATGCGCTTTATGTTTCCTAAAGCCAGAAAAGGAGGATTTAAGCTCAGTAAAAAAACTACAAACTTTGCATTTATTTGTTTTTTTAAAAAAGCCTGCAGAGACACAGAAAATCTTTCCGGGATGAGACCATTTGTTTGCAAACTTTTCAAGGCTGAAGCACAGGTGTGGGTGGGTGTTTCCCCGCCCCTTTACATTATAGCTCCAAAAGGTTTGTTCTACATACAGTGTAAGAGAAGCCTTGCCAAATCTTTCCATGTGGATAAAGCCGCAGTGCCTAGGCATTTGGGTAACAAGGAAAGGCAGCCTCTTAATGGTGCACAAGGACAGGAATGACCCAGGGGAGTCCACCTCCTGCATTTTTGCTTCCAGTGCAATCCTGGGCCTTCCTCCGCATGGATAAGCCCAGAGCAGTGGAAGATGAAGTCCTCCCAGTTGTGAAAACTGCAAAGATACGGCCTTTGAGGTGTTAACACCTGAGGAAGACCTTGGAAACAGAATCTTACCTCAGAAGATTGGGAGAAGTTTATTCAATATTTGCAAAAACTAAGTGATAACCAGATTACGTTTGTAAGTTTTAAGGAAGCTCTGTGATGTGAAAATCTAATAATAAGTATAAACAATGAAATTGAAGCTACCAGAATAAATAGCAATAAGTAGGATTGTGTTAAAAGTTATAAAATGAAGGAAGTTCAGACAAATTGAGGTAAGTCAAAAAATGGAATTAAGAGGTAATTAAGAAGTTTGAATGTACAACTTTGTTTTCTTTTTTTTGTATTTGTAAACCAATAAAAATATAATTTTAAAAAAAAAGGAAACAGAATCTTACCTGGAAGCCTGTCTGTTTTTCATCTGCTTAGATGAAAAACTTAATAACAACAACAACAATACAATAATAAATGGGCCTATATTGGTTCCTTGTAAACCTTGCTGAAACTTACACTTTGCAATTGCAATGGTATTTTGCCATCCTTTGTTGGAAGTTTCTTCTCCTCATTAATATACAGTCGTACCTTGAAAGTCGAATGGAATCCGTTCCGGAAGTCCATTCGACTTCCAAAACGTTTGGAAACCAAGGCGCAGCTTCAATTGCAGGAAGCCACATCGGACTTTCAGGTTCCCAAGACAGTTCGCAAAACGGAACAGTCACTTCCGGGTTTGCAGCATTCGGGACCCAAAACGTTTGAGTCGTAAGGCGTTTGACTTCTGAGGTATGACTGTATCACTGTCACAGTTGTGTCGCTTGCCATTGTATCTGGGGGCTGTGATGTCGAACTTTGCCCTTGCATGTGATCTTGGAGAGGGAAGGAGATCATCTACTTACTCAGGGCAGGTCGGAGTTGGAGTACAGGGTGGAAGTGGACTCTGGTCTCCACTGGCCTGGTCTGCTAAAGAATATTTAATGTTTTGTGTACTCGTGGCCTTTTTCTCTTACTCTTCTGAAAGGGAGAGAGACAGAGAGCACATGGAGGCAAGGGGAGATCACTTATTTATCCTATTAGTTTTATTATTAATTAAAATTTACCAGTTCCTTTTTTTTTTAACCAAGGTAACTAAAATACACTCACATACGTAAACCAACAACACAGATGCTAAAACCAGAATTCGAAGGAAATCTGAAAGACAATCCTATTTCTAAAAGGCAAGACTGGGAACTTCCGCCCGCTGGGCCCTTAGCCAAAGCGGCCCTACTTTAAAAGCCCGACTCGAGGCGTTACCTGCTCCTCCTCGATCCGACGCTGTAGCGTTTCGATGTAGTGCTGCCACCTGCCATGTAAATGAACCGGTACATGGGGCCTCCGTCTGCACCATCCCTGACCGCTGGGACCGGCACCATTTGGATGGTTTTCGGGACGTCAATGTCACAGTCGACGCCTGGAGGGCAGGAGAGTAAAAAGGATCAGTAGGACAGGGATGCCCCAGGCAGGACCCGAGAGAAAAACCCTTCCAGCCCCACTCATTCCGGCTGAAGTCACACCTAAGCTCCCAAGCCAGCAGCAGCTTATGCCGGCAGCGAAATAACTTCCCACTTCTCCACTGACGTCCAAAGTTCCTGAAGAGCAGCAATCTAGGCTGGGCAACATGGGAGCGAGGAAGTAAGGATGGCCTTGCTGGGTCAGACCTAGAACCCACCAAGCCCTACATCCTCTTCTCCATGCTGACGCACCAGAAGAGGCCTCTAGAAAGTGCCTCCAGGACTTGGGGCTGAAGAAGAGACTGCTCCTGGGCCTGGAGGCTCCATTTCGTTCTAATTTCATTTGTTTGTGGGCTCCATTCGAAGCAGTTACAGCACCGTATTTTGCACTCCATAAGACGCACCTATTTTTGGAGGAGAACAGGGAGGAAAAATTTCTCTCCCTCTCTGCGCAGCGCCCCTTCAGCGAAGCGGCAGGAGAAACGGAGCCCCTTCCATTTCTCCTCCCGCTTCGCTGAAGGGGCGCTGCGCAGAGAGGGAAAGCTGCGCAGCGCCTCTCCAGCGAAGCGAAGCCAGGAGAGCAAGAGGGATCGATCTCTCTTGCTCTCCTGGCTTCAGCGAACGCAATGCACAGCTCAGGAGGCTTCGGGCGCGATCCCTGAAGCCAGGAGAGCAAGAGGGATCGGTGCACACCAATCCCTTTTTACTCTTCTGGCTTCAGCGAAAGCTGCGCAGGCTGCATTCGCTCCGTAAGACGCACACACATTTCCCCTTACAGTGGTACCTCGGGTTACATACGCTTCAGGTTACAGACTCTGCTAACCCAGAAAATAGTACCTCAGGTTAAGAACTTTGCTTCAGGATGAGAACAGAAATCGTGCTCTGGCGGCGCGGCAGCAGCAGGAGGACCCATTAGCTAAAGTGGTGCTTCAGGCTAAGAACAGTTTCAGGTTAAGAACGGACCTCCGGAACGACTTAAGTACTTAACCCAAGGTACCACTGTACTTTTTCGGAGGGGAAAGGTGCGTCTTATAGAGCGGAAAATACGGTAAGTGGAACTGCGAAGAATCTGGACAATGGAGGATTCAGGGCAGATAAAAGGAAGTCCTTTCTTATGCAGGGCAGAGTTAATCTCTGGAACTCAGTCCCACAGGAGGCAGTGATGGCCCCCAACCTGAATGGCTTTAAAAGAGGATAGGAGAAAATTCATGGAGGAGAAGGGCTATTGGTGGCTACCAGCCATGATGGCTGTGCTCTGCCTTCATGGCCCATCAGCCCTTGCCGCCAGAAAGCCCATGCTCCCATCTGCCTCAGCATCATACAGCTGTGTTGGCTGGGACTGATGGAAATTGTAACCCACCAGGCAGGCGAAGGCTGACACAACAGCAGAGGGACTCACTTTCTCTCTGATTATGTCAATGAGAATATCTATCACAATGAATGTTCCGGTCCGGCCGATTCCAGCACTAGGAAGGAGGGGGAAAGAGGGGGAAAACACAGACACGCAACTTATATTTCTGCTTCTTTTGGCTTTGAAAAATGTTGTGCTTAAGATCAAAGGCATAGCCCAGGGGTCAGCAACCAATGGGCCGGTCCACCGTCTCTCAGACCATTTTTATAGTCTCTCAGACTATATTTTGAGGGGGGGAATGAATGAATTCCTATGCCCCACAAATAACCCAGAGATGCATTTTAAATAAAAGGACACATTCTACTCATCTAAAACACACTGATTCCCGAACCCTCGACGGGCCAGATTGAGAAGGCGATTGGGCCAGATCCGGCCCACAGGCCTTAGGCTGCCTACCCCTGACAGAGCCCAAGCATCACAGTACCTGCAATGGACCACAACTGGGCCAGCATCCGAGATGTTTTCTTGCTTGTGATGAACCTCTTCTAAGAAATCTAGAACTCCTCCAGGATCACTGGGGACTCCATGGTCAGGCCAGGTTCTGAAGTGATACTGCCAGACTGTTCGTTCGGTGTTGCCCTGGAGAGATGGCACCCAAATATCTTTCCCTGCCTTTTAAGGAGCACTTTGGGGGTGGGGGAGGGTGCGCCACTGGAGATGAGAAGGAGTCATCTCAACAGCAGCACTCCAGTTACAGAAGAAGCCCCTCCCTCAGGAGATCAGACTGCCCCCCCCAACATTATTCCTGGCAAACCAAGGCCTGCTTTCAGAGGAGACATTCAAGACAGATGAAAAAAGGTCCTTCCTCACACACTGCATGAACTACAGAACTCACTCCCACAAGAAGCAGCAATGGCCGAAACTTGGGGGGGCTTTAAAAGAAAACTGGACCAATTCATGGAGAAGAGGGCTCTCAATGGCGACTAGCCCCGATGGCTATGCTCAGCCTCCATGTTTGCTGAAGGAGCATCTCCACCCCCATCGTTCTGCCCGGACGCTGAGGTCCAGTTCCGAGGGCCTTCTGGCGGTTCCCTCATTGCGAGAAGCAAAGCTACAGGGAACCAGGCAGAGGGCCTTCTCGGTAGTGGCACCCACCCTATGGAACGCCCTCCCATCAGATGTCAAAGAAACAAACAACTACCTGACGTTTAGAAGTCATCTGAAGGCAGCCCAATTCAGGGAAGTTTTTAATGTGTGACATTTTGCTGTATTTTTTATCCTTGTTGGAAGCTGCCCAGAGTGGCTGGGGAAACCCAGCTAGATGGGCGGGGTACAAATAATAAATTATTATTATTATTATTATTATTATTATTATTATTATTATTCTGAATGCCAGTTGCTGGAAGCCACAGCAGGGAAGAGGACTCTTGTGCTGGAGTCCTGGTTTCCTACAAGCATGTAACTAGCCGCTTTGAGAACAGGATGCCGGACTCAGGAGCGGCACATTCCATTTTGATGCACGAGGCGAAACAGGAAGTTCCGCCCCATGCTGGCATGTCACCCCATCCTCCAACGGGTCACCCCCTTTTCTGCCAACACTGCCTCCGAGCTGCCCGTCTCCACCGCTGTGGCACCAGCACAAATATCAGGGGAGGAATCTCATCGAAATCTCGCAAGATCTCTCGCCAGAAATCGGCGCTGGCTTCTCTGCTTGTCGTGGGCATGTTCACGTGGAGTCAGCAGGGCTGGTGGGGACACCCGTGGGCCCCCCCCCCGGGAGTTTCATCTGCCTATAGCAGCTGCTTCACCCCACTTCATGGGGGGGAGCTATCCCTGGTTGGACTGGAGGTCCACTGGTTCTCCATATGTTCTTATGGCAGTGTCTACCTAACACACACAGATTCACATTTTCCCTTTCTTTTGCTTTCTTCTTTTTATATAAAAAGAGAAAGTTTGGGGCATGAAAGCCCATGCTCCCTTGCTAAATGAAGCCTCAAATTATTGTTATTCCTATAGCCACATCTGTGCAGTTGCAGCTTTTCCCAATCTGGTGCCCTGCCAATATTTTTAGGCTCCATCATCCCTAGCCATTGGCCATGCTGACTGGAGAGGATATGAGTCCAACAATATGTGGAGCGCACCTGAATGAGGAAGGCCATATTATCATCCTATAGCATTCGTGCACCTGTGGGGCCTTCAGAGGAGCAGAAGCAAAGAGAGAGAGAGAGAGAGAGAGAGAATTCACTGCTTGGAGCATCTCACAGTTTTCAACAGTAGGGGGAGACGAATGAGCAGGCAGAAAGGGAGGGACAATATGGGTATCCATAGGATAGCCTGAGCATTGCAGTCCATGCACTGGTAACCTCAAGGATAGATTACTGCAATGTGGTCTGTGTGGGGCTGCCCTTGCAGTCTGGTTTGGAAGCTCCAGCTGGTGCAGGATGCAGCGGCCAGACTGCTGATGTGACGCCCTTGCTAAAGCATCTGGGCTGGCTGCCCATCTACTGCTGAGCCAGGTTCAAGGTCTTTGTATTACCATATTTTTCCATGTATAAGACTAGGTTTTTCCCCTAAAAAAGAGTGTCCAAAATTAGGGGGCGTCTTATACATGGGTAGTGCTGAGGGTGGATTTTCTTAAATCTGAGTCCCCCAAAATAGGGGGCGTCTTATACATGGAGGCGTCTTATAGCTGGAAAAATACGGTAATTTACAAAGCCCTGAACAACTTAGCTCCAGGGTATCTCAGGGACTGCCTTATATCCCAGTTCAATCACTGATATCATCTTCAGGAGCACTGTTGATCGTTCCCCAAGTTGGAGAGGCTTCTTTTATGCCATTGGCCCAGTTCTGTGGAACTCCCTGCCAATGGAGATTCAGCAAGCACTTCCTGGTTCAACTTTTTAAACAACTGCTAAAAACTTTTCTATTCTGTCAGGTCTTTGCAGGCAGTTAAGGATTTCCAACCGTTAGCTGACTTCTGATTTTATCATTTTATATGGTTTCGGTTTTTGTACTATTGGTACAAACTGCTCCGATATATTTTTTAATGAATAGCTGTATGTAAACAAATAAACATATACGGGACAGAAGCGGGCTCTTCTTTAGGTCTGGCTGCTACCACATTTGACGAATATGAGCCAGAGGATGGCCAGAACTAAAGAAATAACTTCACAGACTTACCTGCCCAACCTTTGAAAGCTTGAGTTCCCGTAACGTGTAATCATGAGCCGCACTCTCTTTGACATTTCGGACGCGCATCACACCGTATTCCTTTAGGGCGTGTTCATCTGGCCAGTATTTTACGCACTTGCTCTGGAAAACAAGACAGGGTGGTGGGCTGCTGGTTTCGTCAATGTCAGTCAACTGAAGGTTCTCCATATGTTTTGGGCTACAAGTCCCACCAGCCCCAGACAGAGAGGCCATGTGATGTGGAGGCTGATGGAAGTAAATCAAATCCACCCTGAGACGAAAGCTCATACCAATAATAAACTTGGTCTCTAAGGTGCTACTGGAAGGATTTTTTAAATTTTGTTTTGATATGCTCAGAGGCTGATCAGCATTGCAAGATCCCCTGAGAGGCGTGGGCGCCTTACCTTTCCCCGCTCGACTTCTTTCGTCGTCATAACGATCACGCGCGAGTTCTCCTGGAACACCATCCTCCAGAAGTCGTTGACGGTGTTCTGCAAGCAGCCTTGGGTGGCAATGTAGCTCTTCTTGGGCTTTGCATTGTTGCACTTGGTTTCAAACTCCGGCTGCAAAATAAGAATAATAATTAAGTTATTGAAATACTATACAGTGGTACCTTGGGTTACATACGCTTCAGGTTACATACGCTTCAGGTTACAGACTCCGCTAACCCAGAAATAGTATCTCAGCGTAAGAACTTTGCTTCAGGATGAGAACAGAAATCGTGCAGCGGCAGCGCGGCGGCAGCAGGAGGCCCCATTAGCTAAAGTGGTGCTTCAGGTTAATAACAGTTTCAGGTTAAGTACGGACCTCTGGAACAAATTAAGTACTTAACCCGAGGTACCACTGTATTGTCACTTGTACAACTTGTATACAGTGAGATTGCACACTGTTATAAGCCACTTGTCACCTAAAGGGTCGACAAGCAACTTACAGTGAAATATATATATACAGGCATGAATACATTATTTCATAGAAAATGGGGGGGGGTCATATAACATGGGCATGTCCAACAGGTCGATCACGATCTTCCGGTCAATTGCCTTGCATCCATGGACTTAAGTCTCCCCTAAGAAAAGCTCAACAACTTTTGCTCCCCCCAAAAAATGCTCACAAGTTTGCCTGGCGATGACAATGGGTAGATCGCAGACAGCATTTCAATACAGTGAGCAGATCGCAGTCTCTTGGGAGTTGATCCCCCACCTGTAGCAGTCCAGTCTAAAGAGAAGACTCCCTGGAAAAGACTCTGATGTTGGGAAAGATGGAGGGCACAAGGAGAAGGGGACGACAGAGGACGAGATGGTGGGACAGTGTTCTCAAAGCTACCAGCATGAGTTTGACCAAACTGCGGGAGGCAGTGGAAGACAGGAGTACCCGGCATGCTCTGGTCCAGGGGGTCACGAAGAGTCGGACACGACTAAACAACAACAAAATTTTAACTTATCCCAGGATTGGCCCTCCCCTACCCACACCAGACAGGTAATAATGTTGTTGTTGTTGTTTAGTTGTTTAGTCATGTCCGACTCTTCGTGACCCCATGGGCCAGAGCACACCAGGCACTCCTGTCTTCCACTGCCTCCCGCAGTTTCGTCAAACTCATGTTGGCAGCTTCGAGAACACTGTCCAACCAACAGGTAATAATGGGGTCCACTAACTATCTGGTAGGGGATGCTCCTCCAGACTCACCCCTCTCCTCAACAGTAAAGATTAAGTCTGCAAGTCTCCCAGAGGAAGGAGCGGGGGTCCCCACCAACACCCTTACCATGATAATATTGGCATTTATGTAATCAGAAACAGGCTCATTCGGATCACCGTCATGAAGGACAACTCTGGTATGGTCAACTAGAAGGAGGGAAGGGGAGAACAAAGACACACCTTATTAAACAGCTACAACCAGCAATTGCTATGTCAGATATTATTTGTCCACTGCTACCCTGCTGGTTGCCTCGGGCGAACCACAGTTGTGCCCGGGCAACCAGGGGAAAAAGCATTACAGAAGTTTATTCTCTGTGTTAGAGAGAACGTGAGCTGGAAATTTCTCTCCAGGCAAAATGAGCTAATTACACGCCAGATTTCGTGCTAAGTTGAAAACCAGCCTTACCTGTCATGGCTGGCTGAGGTTAGGTGGAATGGGAAAGCAGACAAGAGGAGAAACTGCCTCATTTCTTTTCAATTTCTCCTTCCTCCTCCCACCTGCCTTCCCATCCCTACTGTAAGCCAGCCTGCGATGGCCAAATGTGATAGCCACACACATCCTCTCGAAGATACACTAGCCAGAACCTGGTTAGTATGAGTCAACAGTCCTCGGTCTTGTAAGATAGCAAAAGCTTTCTGGGAAATGATTTATAATGAACTGAAGAAAATGTTTAAAATAACTTTTATTAAAAAACCAGCAGCTTTTCTTTTAGGGATAATTGGTACAGAGTTACCTAAGGCCAAAAAACAAACAAACCACACCACCTCTGTTTATGTATGCTACTACCGCAGCCGGGATCATTTATGCTCAGAGATGGAAAGAAGATTCTGCACCAACCAAGGAGGAGTGACAGACTAAATTAATGGACTATGCAGAAATGGCAAAACTTTAGGGAGCAATAAGAAACCAGGAAAACCAAAAAGCTTTATCAAAGACTGGGGAAAATTTGTGGATTATCTGAAATGTTTTTGTACACATATGTTCATTAGCAGGATTAACTTAAAACCAAGCAGTTGAAATTAATGTTAAAGGAAAACCAGGGAGTAATTAATAATTGGCATAATGAAGGAAATGCAGTGTTACGAATTTTAGAAATATAAGAAACCGCAAAAGGGGTGTGGGAAGTCAAAATATACATGTTTATTGGGAAAATATTGGATTTGTATCTTTGTAAAACTTCTTTAAAAAACTGGGGGGGGGTGTGAATATTTTTTAAAAAATATTTATGAGTCAACAGTCTAACAGTTTGGCCTCATCAGCAGTCTGGCCGCAGCATTCTGGACCAGCTGAAGTTTCCACGTACTTTTCAAAGGAAATGTTTGAACATTGCTCGGCTCAAACTTCCATTAACTCCAGCCAGCATGGCCAATGGCCAGCGATGGTGGGAGTTGAGAGCCCCAGCCACATCAGGAGGGAAACTCAGCCAGATGGCCGGGGTATAAATAAATTTATTATTATTATTATTATTATTATTATTATTATTATTATTATTATTATTATTATTACCAGGCTGAAGAGGGCCTTCCAAAGGCTCCCCAGAGTTGCATGGAAAGGGGCCTCTCCTGCTAGCAGAGACCCTTTTAACTGGAAGTGCCAGAAACAGAAGGCTGCACATTCTCACCAACAGACAGGAGAGCTCAAAGGTTAACTGGGTGAATCTTACTGGCCAGGAATCTCGGCTTTGAGGAAGAGGCAAGGACAGAGCATTCAGTACTCACAGGGCAAAATATTCTTGTATCTGTTCTTGTTCTTGTTCTCCTGCCGCTGCCCCTCTTTACGGCTGTAGAGGAGTTTGCATTCTTGCTGCTGGAGAGTCTGAACAAAGAACAAGCAGGAGATCCAACGAATGTTGCAAAGTGTTTGCCGCCTCCTCCTCCACCAGCCCCAGTCCCGAATTTCACCAGCATGTGCCCACCCCCACCCATCGTGGGCCAAAGACACAAAGGCAAGTGTCAAAGAAAGATGCCACTATGAATATCCCAGCGGGGACGAGGGTGGACCCTGATTACAAGAGCCTTGTAAGCAGCAGCTGGATAACTACGGCCGTGACCAGACACTGAGCATTTTTATAGAATTCCACAGAGGGCGATGACAACCCAGAGTCTACCGAGAAAGGATTTACAGCAATGTTAACGTTTTGCAAAGCAGCCCGTTTTCCAAAGCAGCAGAACACAGGGCACCAAGGATGAAAGTTTCACACAAGTAATGCTTGTGAATACCAGTTGTTGGAAGCCAGGGGAGGGGAAGTGTTCCTGTGCTTGGACCTACTTGCCAATTTCCCATTAGGGCAGCTGTTGGACACAGTGAGAACAGGATACTGGACAAGGTGGGCCTTTGGCCTGATCAAGTAGGTTAATATTATTAATAATATTAATAATATTTATACCCCACCCATCTGGCCGGGCTTCCCCAGCCACTCTGGGTGGATCCCAACAGAACACTAAAAACAGAATAAAATTTCAAACATTAAAAACTACATTCAGATGTCTTCTATAAGTCCGATAGTTGTTTATTTCCTTGACATCTGATGGGAGGGTGTTCCACCAGGTGGGCACCACCACCGAGAAGGCCCTTTGCCTGGTTCCCTGTAATCTCACTTCTCACAGTGAGGGAACCGCCAGAAGGCCCTCAGAGCTGGACCACAATATCCAGGCTGAATGATGGGGGTGGAGACGCTCCTTCAGGTATACTGGGCCAAGGCTGTTTAGGGCTTTAAAGGTCAGCACTAATCCTTTGAATTGTGCTCGGAAACATACTGGGAGCCAATGTAGGTCTTTCAGTACCAGTGTTATGTGGTCTCAGCAGCCATATAACTTTCTTGCTTCAGGAAGAGCTGTTGCTCACAAGCCCTCACAGGCAGCTAGCCAAGTGCTTTGCCGATGGCCTTGAAACTGCTGTGGCCCCGGGGAAGATTCTGGCTGGGGTTGGAGAAGGTCACCCACACCAGGCTGCGAGTACAGGGTCCTCCACTCCTGTGGCAGGGAAGTCTGGATCCAACAGCCCTTTGGGGTAGTTAGCAATGCAGAGAGCTACTGTGGAATGCCCTCCCATCAGATGTCAAGGAAATAAACAACTATCTGACTTTTAGAAGACATCTGAAGGCAGCCCTGTTTAGGGAAGCTTTTAACGTTTTATGTTTTATCGTGTTTTTAATATTCTGTTGGGAGCCTCACAACATTTTTAGGGGTGGGGGAGTCCTGCATCCCAACCAAGGATATCTTAGGTTCCAGCTCTAGGCAGGGCTGAACCCTAATGAGGATAAAACACACATTTGGGCTCCTAGGTAGCATCATAGCTGGCCTCATTTGCCTCCTTAAAGGTAAAGGGACCCCTGACCATTAGGTCCAGTCACAGACGACTCTGGGGTTGCAGTGCTCATCTCGCTTTACTGGCTGAGGGAGCCGGCGTACAGCTTCCGGGTCATGTGGCCAGCATGACTAAGCAGCACACGGAAACGCCGTTTACCTTCCCGCAGGAGTGGTTCCTATTTTATCAACTTGCACTTTGACGTGCTTTCGAATTGCTAGGTTGGCAGGAGCAGGGACTAAGCAACGGGTGCTCATCCCGTTGTGGGGATTCGAACCGCCATCCTTCTGATCGGCAAGCCCTAGGCTCTGTGGCTTAGACCACAGCACCACCCGCGTCCCCTGGTTTGTCTCCTTAACCAGGTTTAAAAACAAGGTCCTTTTTCGGTCACAGAAAACCGAAATGCCTAGCGGGTCTCTCAAGATGGGCAATAGCCACTGAGCCTTTAGGAAGAAGAACCCAGAGAAATCCATCGGTGCCATGGCTCCCTCTAGTGGTGCCGCAGCGATGCTATGGAAAGCTCTTACCTTTCCACCAACAAACCAGCAACCTCACCCAGAGGCAAAGAAAGCCTTGGGAGGCAAAGTTCGTTCATCAGAAGTGCCTAAACTCTAAGAGCAACTCACAACCATTGTTCCGAGTTGCATTGAGAGACTTAACATGCACAAGAAACGGGCTGCAGCCCAAGCGACGAGCTGGAAAGTTCAAATCAATATGCGAAATCACAGATGCACGCAAAACAGCTCCACACTCACTGCACTTTTATTTAAGAAGAGTCAATGGCTAGATCAGGCCAATGGCACTTCTAGTCTAGCATCCTCTTCCCATGGTGGCCAACCAGTTGCCCCAATGGAAAACCCTCAAGCAAGATTCAAGCACAACAGCCCTCTCCCCTCCTGTGGTTTCCAGCAACTGGCATTCAGAAGCACTTACTGACTCCGACCATGGAGGCAGACGACCCCGCTTACCTCAAATTCTTCCCAGAAGCCTTGTTTAACTTTGTCGGTGGTCTCTGCCAGCTTGCTCAATTCTTTGACACGGCTCTCAATCTCTGCCGCATTGATGCGGGTGGTGTTGAGGGGCTGTGGAGGAAGAAAGAGAGGCAGGTGAGCATAGACGTTTTTGTGTATCCCTGGGAGGGACGCGGGTGGCGCTGTGGGTTAAACCACAGAGCCTAGGACTTGCTGATCAGAAGGATCGATGGTTCGAATCCCCACGACAGAGTGAGCTCCCGTTGCTCGGTCCCTGCTCCTGTCAACCTAGCAGTTCAAAAGCACCTCAAAGTGCAAGTAGATAATTAGGTACCACTCTGGTGGGAAGGTAAATGGCGTTTCCGTGCGCTGCTCTGGTTCTCCAATGGCTTAGTCATGCTGGCCACATGACCCGGAAGCTGTACACCGGCTCCCTCGGCCAATAAAGATGAGCGCCGCAACCCCAGAGTCGGTCACGACTGGTCCTAATGGTCAGGGCTCCCTTTACCTTTACTTTACCATCCCTGGGACAGAGCCCCCTTGTAAGATCCATTCATACTGTATGGAAAATGTTCATGCGCTCCAAATGATGCACCTATTTCCAAGAGTTTGGATTCAAGACCCATTCATCCAGTTTGGGGGCTGTAAGCAAAGTTTTTTGAGGGGGGGCATGGTGGCACCTGGCCCTTGAATTGACTTCCGAAGCGGCGATATTTATAGCCCTTTCTCCAAAGTCAAGACCAGGGCAACGAGGGGGAAACATACATTTAGAAGAGCATGTTCTATGAATGTAAAAAACTAAGTTTCAACTGATACTGTGCTCTGAAAGGAGCCAGCCATCAAACGCCAGGGATCTGGGACCTTCTGCTTGCAAAGCAATGCCCTGCCGAGGATCTGAAGCCTGGAGAGGGAAGGGATCCACACGGAAGGGCTCACTCTGCAAACAAGAGCACACAGGCACACGCGCACACCAGGGCCATTGCAGAGGACTGGCGCCCATCCCTCTCCAAAATGCTCATCACCAGGAGCTTTTCTTCTCACCTGCTTCAGTTGAAGGACTGTCCCCAGGGTTTCCACCATGGGGTTCTTCTTGTAATGCTCCACAAGGTCTGTCAAGGAATCAAATCTCTCCCCTCCACCAACGTCGTACTTCATATCCTTGGAAGGAAAGGAGAAGAGACAGGCGCTAGTTAGCTATGCACACGGGTGCCTGGTATTTGCATAATTTATTCTAGGCCAGTCACTTTTAGAAATTATTTTCCACCTATCAAGAAAATCAATTCAGGCTGCATAAATCTGCATATGACTAAAACCCCAGCCTCAGCACACACCAAAAAGCACATTTTTTATTATTTAAAGATGCAGTCTTAGGAGGAGGAGTTCTCTTTCTCTTTATCTTCATTATTCTTTCTTTCTTTTTTTCTCTTTTGTTTTCCTTGGTCTCCTCTGCTCTAGGTCTTTATTAGGATTATACAGACACAAAGGTGATGGATGGTCAGTGAAGGACACTGGGTAAAAGATCTCCCAGGGAGGGAGGCTCAGAGAAGAACGAAAAACTCCCAGGTGTGAGCTGCGAGGGTCCACCCTTTCTGTGTGAGACAAGAACGAAGAGCTACCTTCGAGAGAGGACTCTGCATTTTCTTTTCTTTAGCTGTTTTTATTTAGATTAGCTTGTTTTTGATTGTCTTGTATTATAAAAAAAACTTTAATAAAAAATGGGGGGGGGGGATACAGTAAAAAAAATCCTCCACTACAGTCAAACCTCGGTTGTCAAACGTAATTCATTCTGGAAGACCGTTCGACTTCCGAAACGCTCAACAACCGAGGTGCGGCTTTCCGATTGGCTGCAAGAGCTTCTTGCACTCAAGCGGAAGCCGTGTCAGACGTTCAGGTTCTGAAAAACGTTCGAAAACCGGTACACTTACTTCTGGGTTTTTGGCGTTCAGGAGCCGGAATGTTCCAAAACAGAGGCATTCAGGAACCAAGATTTGACTGCAATTAGATGCAGAGAGGGACGTGGGTAGCGCTGTGGGTTAAACCACAGAACCTAGGACTTGCCAATCAGAAAGTCGGCGGTTTGAATCCCTGTGACGGGATGAGCTCCCATTGCTCAGTCCAGCTCCTGCCAGCCTAGCAGTTCGAAAGCACGTCAAAGTGCAAGTAGATAAATAGGTACCGCTCCGGCGGGAAGGTAAACGGCGTTTCCGTGCTCTGCTCTGGTTCGCCAGAAGCGGCTTAGTCATGCTGGCCACATGACCCAGAAGCTGTACACCGGCTCCCATGGCCAATAAAGCGAGATGAGCGCCGCAACCCCAGAGCCGGCCATGACTATACCTAATGGTCAGGGGTCCCTTTACCTTTACCTAGATGCAGAGAACCAGAATGCAAACTTTCCACCTACATTAAAGCACACCCAGAAATTGCTCCAGCAATTTCCTCCTCCAGGCCTACAGCTTCTTTGCCTCACCCACATCCTCATTCCTTTACCTGGCACCGGATCATGACATGCGTCACTTTGGACTTCCCATCGTTGCTCTCTCCTTTATCGTCCCCCGTCCGAACGGAAAGGACAAAGTCTCCCGGGTGGCTCTGGCTCTCGCGGACAAGAAAACTCCCATGTTTCCCTTTTTCTGTCAACAGCTTCTCCGCTTCTTTTCCAGAAAGATGCCCATGAAACCACCTTTGGAAAGGCAGCAAAATGAGGTGAGTCGCATCGGGACAACACACTGGTTGCCTGCACTCAGCCAGTGTTAGAAACTGGGATAGAAAAGATAGGAGCCAAATGGCTTCTAGGACCTGGGTTGTGGGCGCCAAAACAGAATGTCTAGTCGCCACTGGGGGGGGGGGAGATGCAATTCACATAAGTGACACAGTTTTAGCAGAAATTGTTAATGCATGCTTAATTTGGTGTTTACAATAAAAATATTGGTACCATATTTCAATTTTCAAAACACTCTATTCTTTATTGTTAAACTCCTTAATATATTGTCTATCCTTAACATATACTTTGAAGCTTCAAATCACATACATTTCAGTAATCCTTGAGCGTCGGCCAGGCGCTAAAAAATGGCACCCAGACTTTTGGAGGTGCTCGCAAATGGAGAATCTTTAGGCGCAAAATGCGCCTGGCGCCCTGCTAATTTCGAACCCTGCGCTCAGCAACTGTTCCACAAACAGGTGTGATGTAGGGGTCAAAGTAGACGCGCCAAAATTTATGATACCTGATGCACAAGCCTTTTAAATATACATTTCTTTTGAAAAAGTGGTCGCTGAAACTGGAAGGCACACTTCACTCTTATGTAACACCTCTGCCCAGAGACCTGCACCAGTTGCCAATTTGTTACCAGGCCAAGTTCAATGTGTTGCTATTAATATACAAAACCATTAACAACTTGGGACCCATTTATGTGCCAGATGGACTTAATCCACATAGGCCCACTACACCACTTCAATCTGCAGAACTGGCCCTGGTACTCACTCTGCATTTGTAAGAAAGCAATCTTTTAGCGTGTTGGCACCTACACTTTGGAACTCCCTGCCTGTTGACATCAGGCAGCCACCTTTGCTGTACAGTGGTATCTCGGGTTACAGACACTTCAGGTTACAGACGCATCAGGTTACAGACTCCGCTAACCCAGAAATTGTACTCAGAAGCCAGAACAAGAGGGATCGCCGCGCAGCGAACCCTTTTGCTGTTCTGGCTTCTGGGATAGCTGCACAGCCTGCATTCGCTCCATAAGACGCACACACATTTCCCCTTACTTTTTAGGAGGGAAAAAGTAAGTCTTATAGAGCAAAAAATACGGTATTTGTTTGCCAAGCATGTAAAGCTGAATGCACACAAGTTAAATGTGTGTAAGTTGCGGGCTTACTGTATAGCTAAAAATATTTTAAAGGACATAAAAGCAAGGTGAAAAGGCAGTGCATAAGCAGGGTGAGCTACCGCCTGAAATCTGCTTCGCTGCAGAGCCACCACTGAGGGGCCAAAGGGTGGTCCTGCAGCGTCAAACTCAGGAGGGATCAGATGACCCAAGAGAGCAACAGGGTCTCTCCTAGCCCTGTAAAGCTGCTGACCGGCTTGGTTCACCAGTAGGCCTGACTCAGGGGGAAGCCAGGCCTGCTTGCACCTAGACCATTAATGCTAACACTGGCCACACCCAGAACTTGCGGGGCTACCTTGACGCCAGCGGCGTACGAAGTGGGAGACGGGCCACCCCGGGTGCCACTCGGGGGGACGGGGGACAAGATGGCCCCTGCCTCCCTCCAGCTGTAGATCGGCCGAGGGCGTCCGGCGTCTGTACGGGCTGCCGCTCTCGCACACTGTCCATACGGGGTGCCTCACAGCGACCGTACAGGCTGCCACGCGTGCGCTCTCCATCCAGAATGCCGCACATATGCACTCCGTACGGGATGCTACTTGCGCGGCAGCCTGTGGTCGCCATGCAAGCGGCACGACTGCGCATGTGCGGCATCCCGTACGGAGTGCGCACGCACAGGATGCTGCACGTGCGCAGTATGTATGGGATGCCACACATGCGTACTCTGTACGGGATGCCCTGCCCCAGGTGCCGGAGAGGGTTCCTCCGCCACTGCTTGACACCACCACCATCGTCATGCCCTATCACCAGGAAATCATCCTGTTTGGTGCCCAGCCGCCTCCTCGCACAACTCCCGGCTTTCTCACCTTTCAGACGTGGGGTCAGCACAGTTGAGCGGATACTTCAGCTCAATCACGTCGCCGTTCTTCTCCTTGAGCTGCCCGTGATGTTCCATGTAATACTGCACCAGCTCTGCCAAGGTGGCGAACTTTTCCCCTCCATAGAGGTCGTAGTAGTCACCTGTATTCTGGATCTTGATGTGGGTGACTGCTCCATTCCGCCTGGTAGAGACAGCAAGAAAGCTGACTTACAAGAATGCATATATGATCACATGGAGCTGCCTTGTATCAGGGCCGGCCTTGGATGTGGGCGAGCAGGTGGCCGCTTGGGGCACCAAGCTGAGCTCAGTGCCTGTGTTTTCTGCTTTTGTTTTTAAATGTACTGCCTGCAGTGAGCGAGAACAGCAAAAAGCAAGTGTCTTTAACCTTCTCCCAAGGTTCTACAAGTTTTTTGGGTACTAATGACTAATGATCCTCCTGCAATTAGTGTTCAAGTATGTTCATAGGGACGCGGGTGGCGCTGTGGGTTAAACCACAGAGCCTAGGGCTTGCCGATCAGAAGGTCGGCGGTTCGAATCCCCGTGACGAGGTGAGCTCCCGTTGCTCGGTCCCAGCTCCTGCCAACCTAGCAGTTCAAAAGCACATCAAAGTGCAAGTAGATAAATCAGTACTGCTCCGGCGGGAAGGTAAAAGGTGTTTCCATGCACTGTTCTGGTTTGCCAGAAGCGGCTTAGTCATGCTGGCCGCATGACCCGGAAGCTGTATGCTGGCTCCCTCGGCCAATAAAGCAAGATGAGCGCCACAACCCCAGAGTCGGCCACGACTGGACCTAATGGTCAGGGGTCCCTTTACCTTTATGTTCATAGAATGAAAACAAAAACTGTAGAGTTGAAAGGGACCTCGAGGGTCATCAAGTCCGACCCCCTGCAATGCAGGAATCCAGCTAAAGAATCCCTGACAAGGTGGCCATCTGACCTCTGCTTTAAAATCTCCAAGGAAGGAGAGTCCACAACTTTCCAAGGGAGTCTGTTCCACTGTTTAACTGTTCTTACTGAAAAAAGTCATTCCTGATGTTTAGTCGGATGCTGATGGGAAGGGGAATCCAGCCACACCGGGAAGGCTGCAGGTTTCCCACCCCTTATCTAAATTATCTGATTGGCAGCGGCTCTCCAAGGCCTCTGAACTCAGGCCAGGCTCCCTCCTCCCGCTTCGCTGCCCTCTTCAGAAACTGGGCTTCTCAACCTCCAAAGGGAGAGAGGAAAGGGGTTGCTGGTTCAGTACACAATGAAACTATGGCTATATTTGCATACATATACTTTAGGGACGCAGGTGGCGCTGTGGGTAAAACCTCAGCGCCTAGGACTTGCCGATCGCATGGTCGGCGGTTCGAATCCCCGCGGCGGGGTGCGCTCCCGTTGCTCGGTCTCAGCGCCTGCCAACCTAGCAGTTCGAAAGCACCTCCGGGTGCAAGCAGATAAATAGGGACCGCTTACTGGCGGGAAGGTAAACGGCGTTTCCGTGTGCGGCTCTGGCTCGCCAGATGCAGCTTTGTCACGCTGGCCACGTGACCCGGAAGTGTCTGCGGACAGCGCTGGCTCCCGGCCTATAGAGTGAGATGAGCGCACAACCCTAGAGTCTGTCAAGACTGGCCCGTACGGGCAGGGGTACCTTTACCTTACTTTAGGCCAATCACCTGATTAAAGAGGTCTTAGTAAGGTTGTCAAATGGAGATCGAAAGGGACTGACCCTAGGATCTCATGCATGCAAAACTCTCTCTGATAATTTACTCACCGAACTGAAAGGGTGAAGTCCCCAGGGTTGCTCTTGCTGGGCCGGGCCAGAAAGCTGCCATCTACTCCTCGTGTCAGCAGGAGGTTCTCTGCCTCCACTCCGGTAATATTTGGGTGAAACCATCTAAAAAGAGAAAGAATGGTGGGGAGTGATATAAATAGAAAGGAATGTAAGCTCTTTTTATATGCAGAAACAGCAGCAAGAATATTATTGGCCCAAAAATGGAAGCAAGAAGAGTTACCGACGATTGAAGAATGGAGGATGAAGTTAATGGACTATGCAGAATTAGATAAACTAACAGGAAGGATTCGAAACCGGCGAGACCAGAAATTCACGGAAGACTGGAGTAAATTTACGGACTATTTGAAAAGTAATTGTGAAGAAAGACGACGTTTGTAGGGTTGCAAGAAGTTTTGTGAGGAGTATTATTAGAAGTATTGTAAAAATGGATAAGGGGGAGGATGATTTGTTAAGAGATGTAAAGGCAATATAAAGTTAAGAAATGCATAAGAAGTGGTTAAAACGGTAGATCATCAGAGGTGCTGATGGAAGTCCAAAAAGATTGTATAAGTGATAAGTTCTGTGGTACATTTTATAATTTATATGTTAAAATTAATAAAAATAAAAAGAGAAAGAATAGGGTCCCCCCCCCGGCAGCAACAAAAAAGCCATGTTTTAGAAATCTAAGTCATTAGCAAAACCGAACAAATCCTCATAAGCTACTAGTACTCTTAAAACAAAAATATATTCTTCACACATTGAATATGCTTGTGGCCCATCTGGCTCAATATTGTCTACAATGACGGGCAGCAGTGCTCCAGCATACCACACCAGAGCTTTCCCCACCTGAACCCAGGTGCTTCTACATGCAAAGCATTGTGCTGCCACCGCAGCACGGTCCTTCCTTTACTTTTGCGTCATCTATGGTGCGCTGATAACCTGAAAAGAAAGAGAACCAGCCCACTTGCCATTTACAGATGCTCCCCTGCAGGTAGCACCTGATCACCACAGGCGAGCAGCTGTTTGCATGCCTGAGTAAAGTACCGTATTTTTCGCTCTATAAGACGCACCAGACCACAAGACGCACCTAGTTTTTGGAGAAGGAAAACAAGAAAAAAAATATTCTGAATCTCAGAAGCCAGAACAGCAAGAGGGATCGCTGCGCAGCGAAAGCAGCGATCCCTCTTGCTGTTCTGGCTTCTGGGATAGCTGCGCAGCCTGCATTCGCCCCATAAGACGCACACACATTCCCCCTTACTTTTTAGGAGGGAAAAAGTGAGTCTTACAGAGCAAAAAATACGGTAAATGAAATGGCAAGACTATGCGGGGCAAAATCTCCCTTCTCTCTCTCTCTCTCTAACTTATAAGACTTTCATTTGTGGGAGGAGTCCCATGAAAAGGATTTGCATTGCCAACCGAGACTTCAAACAGAGTAAGACAAACCAAGAGGGAAGGTACAACCTCATGCTTCACAAATGGAGCCGCGAAAGCTGATGGGGAATCCACTCCTGCCTTTAGAAGGTTCGGCTCCAAAGGATTCCTCTGAAGCGTTAGGCTGGAAGACTTTGCAGAGACTCAACGCCATCCCAGCCTGGGAATACCTTGCAAGTGCCCTCCATATATCCTCTTGGTCTTAGCCACCCACAACCATCCTTTCCCGTGACTAATATAGCACCTTGCCTCCACGCAAACAGCACCTTTCACCCAGCGTTTGCCGCCTATGCTGTCAGTGCCGTCTGACTTATTTTTAGAAATACGGCTAACTTGAGCCAACATTTTGGCTTAGGCTGCACTTCCCACCCTGGGGCAAAAACTCAAGATTCCTGAAAAGCCTAATGAGTTATTATCATTGGTAATTAAGATATTTATATACTGCCACCATTGTGCAGTGCTTAGAGCAGGCTTTCTCAACCTCGGCCCTCCAGATGTTTTGAGACTACAGTTCCCATCATCCCTGACCACTGGTCCTGAGAAGCTAGGGATCATTTGTAGGCCAAAAACATCTGGAGGGACGAGGTTGAGGAAGCCTGGCTTAGAGCAACAGAACAAAGCGCCAGGTCCCTGCCCTGATGAACTTACAATCTAGATTTAGACTTTGGGAGTGGGGGAGGCCAGCAAGAACCCTGGTTAAAAAAAAAATACTACCAATAAATTCATGCAAATCGAATCGCACAGGGAACTCTACACAAGCTACGTGTGCTCCCCGGTTCTTCTCTCTTCCTTTCTACCCCACTTGTCTTGGGCTTCCACCAGTTCAGTGGAATTGCTTCAGATTTAAAACCAAACCACGGTTTCTCTGATTTTTGAACCAGCACCATTGGGCGGGGGGGGGGATGACTTGTAAGTGTATGCCAAACCAGGATCTGACCCACAGCCCCCGAAGTTGGCTTGCAGTCCTTTGGGCCAAGGTGTGGTTTAGCATTAATCTAAACTGTCAATCCATGGTTTGAAATGTTCCACCCTCAGCAGCTGATATTTGGATCCTTGACAGTGGATCTTGGACTTTACGTGGGGAAAAGAAATGAATGATTCTGAGACACCGTGACTTGAAGCAAATAACAGAAAGTGGAGAAGACAGATGTTAGCATGGATTGAATGATTTAAACACTCCTCTTTTTTATGTAACTGGCAGATGTAAAATCGGAAGTTTTGTTTTTGTACCTTTCTCAAATGTTTCTTTTAAAGCTTATTTTCTTTCTCTTTCCTTTCTTCTTATTATCCATTTCCTTCTTTATTTCCTTCTTTCTTTAGAGCCCTATGTCTGTGGCCTTTATTAAGGTTCTAATTTGTATACTAATAGGGGGGCAGATAGCTGATGGAGGGCCCTGGGTGAGAGACAGGAAAATGACGGCCTCCCAGGGTGAGAGGCTGGGAGGAGAAAGGAAAGATTTCAGGTAAGAACTTCTGTGGGTGGTAAGGGCTAAGAATTTCTTTTAAGAGAGGGCTTTTTTGTATTTTTTGTAGCTGCTATTTTACTGTTTTATTGGGGGAGATAATAAAAACCTCATTATAAAAAGGATCCAGGGATCCTCATGGAACGAACAGTGAAACTATTCAAGCCATTTGGACCACAAACCATAGCTTAGAATCAATCATTATTATTTGTTTGTTTGTTAATTTATTTATAGCATTTCTATCCCACCCTTTATGGGACGCGGGTGGCGCTGTGGGTTAAACCACAGAGCCTAGGACTTGCCGATCAGAAGGTCGGCGGTTCGAATCCCCGCGACGGAGTGAGCTCCCGTTGCTCGGTCCCTGCTCCTGCCAACCTAGCAGTTCGAAAGCACCTCAAAGTGCAAGTAGATAAATAGGTACTGCTCCAGCGGGAAGGTAAACGGCGTTTCCGTGCGCTGCTCTGGTTTGCCAGAAGCGGCTTAGTCATGCTGGCCACGTGACCCAGAAGCTGTATGCCAGCTCCCTCGGCCAATAAAGCGAGATCAGCGCCGCAACCTCAGAGTCGGCCACGACTGGACCTAATGGTCAGGGGTCCCCTTTACCTTTTTAGCCCACCCTTTAGGCAGAAACGTTCTCAGGGCGGCTTTCAAAAATCAAGTGTAAACCATGGGTAGCACAAACTCTGGTTGGAAATTAATCTGAACTGATCAAAACCACATTTCATAAAACCTCATCAGATGTTCCTTGATGAAAAAAAGGAATCAGCTTCAGCTTGCCCATCCCAACCAATCTACCAATGCTCAGCATCAGTCTTTGCCAACCTGAACTACAACTCCCACCAGGCTGACGGGAGGGCACCAGGTTAGCAAAGGCTTCTCTATATGAACCACTGAACATGCACCTCGGAAATTCCCCATCGTCCTCTATGGCCTTCAAGACTTCTGATAGACAAATGTTCTTCAGCAGGCAAGTTGATGCAAAATGGGGCTCCACTGCAGGTGGAGCATGACCCTTCAAGACTAAGTGAGTCTTTGGCTTCAGGAAGGGAGGAGGCTAGAGCTGTGAGGGGCAGGGGGCAGCTTGAAAATCACTTCTCGCCATTCCCCACACTGCCCATTCTTTTTCAATACCTCTTTTCCTCTGACCTTCTACCACCCACCATCACAGCCCACCAGCAACATTTTTCCCATTTCACAGGTTACGAAATGCAAGCTAACAGCACCTGGCAAAATCTTAATGGCTGCCACAGAATTTTGTGGGGGTTTGGCTGTGGGATTTGAAGGAGCCATTTTGAAAACCTGAAGCAGAGACCATAAAAAGCCCCAGACTCAACCCATCTAATGGAACCCAGAGGAAGAATGGGAGTTCCGGCAGTCACTGGCCGAGGTGGCTGCTCTATTTGTAACTTTTGTCCCGAGGCTATCTGGGGCTCCAGGTATATTTGGCTCAAAGTGGGAAGCGGCATTTTGTCAATGGCCAAAAATAGAAGGATTTGGGGGTGTATCAAGTCAGCCGTAGGCCAACAAGTTATGCCAAGTGGTTCCGGAAATGTGATCGGAACAACAGCACTCAGACGTCAGACACTCATTTAAGGCTGATATACCACCCTGATTCTAGGGTCTGAGGCGGACTATGCCATTTTACAAATACAGAGAAGAGGAAAATGGTGGCGGGCCTGCAGGAAGCATGTTTTTGAAATTATTTGCTAATGTAATCAAATATATGACAGGTTATACCTCACCGACAATGGGGAATATAAGGAAATACAAAGGGCTCATATCAATAAAACAAAATCAGGAATTAAAAATGAATATGTTTGGCAATGCTGGAGTAGAACTGGTATTTAAAAGGAACTGAGATAACATCCAATCAAAAACTGTGACCAGGAGGGTATGGAATACAAAACTGACAAATTTTAGTAGAGGGAGGTGTTTGAAACGAGCCAAACATCAGGCACATTTTTCACCTGCCTTTCAACCACTTGCAAAAAAAATGCCTGGGCACTGTTCTCATTTGCCCATAAGCCTCTAATGGCAGCCCTGAAGGATCAGACCAAAGCCGTTCCTGGTCCACCAACCTACTTCTCAGAGTAGGCAGAAAGATGACCACAAGAAAAGGCAGGGCACAAGCACTCTCTCTGTTGTCCCCCAACAACTGGCATTCAGGGATAGACTGCCTCTGAACCTGGAGATTTCACACAGCCATCACTAAAATAATGTGTGGAGAAAGTGTTTATCCAGCTCTCATAACATGAGAACTTAGGGCTGTCCAATGAGGTCAAAAGTAGGCACTTCTTCACACATCACATAGTTAAAACTATGAAATTCATTACAAGATGTAGTGATGGCTACCAACTTGTATGGCTTTAAAAAGGGTACAGTGGTACCTTGGGTTAAATACTTAATTCATTCCGGAGGTCCGTTCTTAACCTGAAACTGTTCTTAACCTGAAGCACCACTTTAGCTAATGGGGCCTCCTGCTGCCGCCACGCTGCAGGGGCCTGATTTCTGTTCTTATCCTGAAGCAAAGTTCTTAACCTGAAGCACTATTTCTGGGTTAGTGGAATGTGTAACCTGAAGCGTATGTAACCTGAAGCGTATGTAACCCAAGGTACCACTGTATAGACAAATTCTTAGAGAATAAGGATATCAAGAACAGTCATAATAAAGGTACCCCTGCCCGTACGGGCCAGTCTTGACAGACTCTAGGGTTGTGCGCCCATCTCACTCAAGAGGCCGGGGGCCAGCGCTGTCCGCAGACACTTCCGGGTCACGTGGCCAGTGTGACAAGCTGCATCTGGCGAGCCAGCGCAGCACACGGAAACGCCGTTTACCTTCCCGCTGGTAAGCGGTCCCTATTTATCTACTTGCACCCGAGGGTGCTTTCGAACTGCTAGGTTGGCAGACGCTGGGACCGAACAACAGGAGCGCACCCCGCCGCGGGGATTCGAACCGCCGACCTTTCGATCGGCAAGCCCTAGGCGCTGAGGCTTTTACCCACAGCGCCACCCGCGTCCCACACATGGTCTAAGGCCATACTACAGTCATAATAGCTATGTTCTAATTCCACTGTAGGAGGCAGCATGCCTCTGAACACTAGTTGCTGAGAATCACAAGCTGGCAGAATGCTGTTGCACTCAGGCTGTCCAGAAACATAAGGCTGGCCACTGCGAGAACAGGATACCTTTGTACAGTAGGCAACATTCCAGCAATGCAAAAGTCTGAGTTTTCAACACTCCAATAATAGGCAAGCGAGAGGCACTATGACAGTTCAATGACACATTCCAAATTGTTCAAGGCATCTGGTTGGCCATTATGAGAATAGGATGCTAGACTAGGTGAGCTTTTGCAGGGTTCTTCTTCAGTTCTTAATTTGCCTAAAATCCCCTTCTACAGCTAGTGGTCTGGCAGTGGGAAATTTTATTAACACATTTCTACCCTACCTTCTAGGGCTTCTGGGAAATATTTAAAACACAGAAAACATCCAGCACAACAATACAGCAAGATACAGATTCAAAGCTTAAAATTCCACAAATTAGTAATGCATTGCACGAAGAAGGATCAAAAACAAAACAGCCAATCACATTACCAAAACAAGAGAGCAAAAAACAGCCATAGACATTTAAAGTTGATAGTCACATCTTGCAGCGGGGAGCTTTTTTGTGAAGAAGCAGGGCAGATCTGCACCACGCGTTTAAAGCACATCCAACACGCATTTAAAACGCTTTACTTTCCCCAAAGAATCATGGGAATTGTAGTTTGCTAAGAGGGAAACTTTTGATGTATGGTGTAGTAGAGACAGGTGAAGTGATAGGATCACACTGAATTATGCAGAGGATGTAGATTCCCAAAGCCACCTTGGAACATGGGTTGCTTGGCTGCCCGTGAACTTTTAAGCCTTGTAAAGCCCCTGGCTTATATGTTCTGGGAACATCGGTGTTCCTGGCCTCCAAAGTCCCCTCCCTCCCCTGCACACAGTCCAGCACAGTCCCCACAAATCTCTGCAGCGAGTCAAGACTCGGCCAAAGGATCTGGCTGCCGACCCACAACCAGCGCACATTCAAAGCAAGCACGCCATGTCTCCCCCCGCCCCCAGAAGGAATCCAGGGAGCTGCAAGTCCGAACACACAGAGGGAGCTACAATTCCCAGCACCCTGGGCAACCTAGGGTCCCCAGGGTTCATTGGGACTCTCTCGTGGGCTTTAAATGTGGCGTTGCATGTGCTTTTACATGCATGGTGTGGAGAGGCAGAGTACGAGCTCGCTCTCTTCGCCAGGCTTGACCTGGGGGCTGTCCTCATTGCAGGGGGAAGGAGCCCCTCTGCTTCTCCGCCCCCCCTGCCCCCGTACAGCCTGTCCTGCGGCAAAGGAAAGGCCGCCCCCCACCTCACCCCACCCCACTAAGGACCTGAGGGATTGGGGCTACCCCCCACCTGTCCCCATGGCAACAGCAGTGGGGAGGGGCCAAGCCCCCTTCCCCCACAGGAAGAGCGGAGGGGCGGGGCCTGCCGTTCTTCCCCGCTCACCTCCTCGAGGTCATCTTTCCGTCTCCGGCTTTCTCACATGAGGCCCCTTCGCCTCACGGGGAGCCCGGCCCGGGAGGTGGGGAGCAGAAACCAACCCGGGCCCGGCCGCATTCAGGGCCTGGGAGGGAGAGCCACACAGAGCAAAGCGTCGCAGCCACTAGCGCGTCACACGCCCGCGACGCGGCGGCGGCGGCGGGTCCCGCCCACAGTGGAGGGAAAGGGACGCCTCCTACAATGACCATAGAGACAGCCGAGGGCAGAGAGGCACGGAGAGCCTCGAGTTCTGGTATTCATGGGGAAGCAGCCGCTCTTGGCGGAAAGCTCTAGACAGCAGCATTTCTATGGTTGGCACCCTTTCCATACTTGCATGTTGTTGTTTTCCTATTTTGCAAATCTGGGTGGTTCGGTTACCAGCGCCTGATGTGAATGATTTCCAGACTTTATTTGCATGCGTGAAAGCTGTAGCAGAATTGCTGCAGTCCGTGCTTTTTGCAATTTGGCTTCACTGCTTGAACTTGTCCTTACACCTACGGTATATATGACTCTAGATTCAGGTTGGTAGCCGTGTTGGTCTGACGCAGTCGAAATAAATGAAAAAACTAAAAAATCGTCCAGTAGCACCTTAGAGGCCAACTAAGTTTGTTCTGGGTATAAGCTTTCGTGTGCATGTGTATCTGAAGAAGTGTGCATGCGCACGAAAGCTTATACTGTACTGTACCCAGAACAAACTTAGTCTCTAAGGTGCTACTGAACAATTTTTTAGTTTTTTTATTTATTTTGACTATATCTGACTAACTTCCTAACTTCATATATCTGATAAAATCTACTCTCGATCATGAATACTCAGGCCAATTATAAGTGTATGAGTCTTTAATGTACTATTTTGCAATGTAGGATATGAATATAGTATAAAATGTATTTTAATAAGTTAGATTTATTATATATATTCCATAATTTACAAAAATAATATTCATCCATATATCTTCCAGTAATGAACAAAACACAGCCAGCTTTCAACATTCAGAGAACTGCCAGTGTTATTACATTTACACCCCACCTTTCTTCCATCACGAAAGCCAATGGTTCTCAAGCTGTTAACTATCCAAAGCACCAACCAAAAGCTCTCAGACCACTCTCGGACCAAAAATTTTGTTATTTATATTGTGTTATGATAAAAGAAGGAAACGTATCATAAAGCATGTTATATGACAGATGGCTCCTTTTGTAAAGTTTTGTAATGCTGAATAGGAAAACAGCAAAGACTCTTGTGAAACCCTGAAAACAACCAAGTGTGTTATAGTACAGTATAAGGCAGGCATGTCCGAAGTCTGTTTCGGGGGCCTAATCTAGTCCGCCAGTGAGTTTAATCCAGCAGTTTATTTCCTGGGGTAAAAATACCTCAACAACTTCAACCCTAAAAAAAGATTAACAACTTTGGTCGGCCCTCACGGCCCTTCACTTCATCAAATCTGGTCCTCTTTGAAAAAAGTTTGGACACCACTGGTGGTTTTCATGAACTGCCCGTAGTTCCCTGTGACCTGTGGGAGATTTTCTGCCGCAAGTTCCAAAGATCTCAGAAACACGTTCTGCAGTAACTCGGAGCAGGGCTTTAATGTGGCTGTTCCTGTTCTTTGGAAGAGCATCCCTCTTGAGATGGAAAGGCACCCATTATCTACACTTTCCAGAAACCATTGAAGGTTTTTTTTGTTCCAACAGGCTTTGTCGGCTGGATAAATGGGTCTTTACCACTACAGTGGTACTTCGGGTTAAGTACTTAATTCTTTCCGGAGGTCCGTACTTAACCTGAAACTGTTCTTAAGCTGAAGCACCACTTCAGCGAATGGGGCCTCCAGCTGCTGCCGCTGCCCCGCCGGAACACGATTTCTGTTCTCATCCTGAAGCAAAGTTCTTAACCCGAGGTAATATTTCTGGGTTAGCCGAGTCCGTAACCTGAAGCGTCTGTAACCCGAGGTACCACTGTAGTGTCCACTTGTTTGGATTTTAGTCTGGTTTTAAAAGCATTTGCTGTATGTATGTTTTTAACTGGTTTTATGTGTAAATTTATCTTATGTGCAAATCGTCTAGAGACGATGGTTTAGAAGGCAGGTAATAAATTAATTGTAATAATGAAGATGTCGATCCAGTGTACAGCAACCGGGGGAAAGGCAAATTCCTTGCTAAGGATCATCAGGCAAGGAATTGATATCATGCCTATCTATGCTCCTTTCGGAATAGCAGCTACGACCACAAAGTTAGTTGGCATCCGGCTGTCTCGAGAGACAATAGTGGAGTGAGCCTTTGGGGCTGAAGTCAAACTGTGGGAAGGTTACAGCACAGTAAACTACATCCCCCAGAATGCCTTGGGTCGCGCGCGGTGACGTCACGCCCGCTTTCTCTTTACCGCCGAGGTCCCGGATATTGCCTCTTTTTCCCTTCTCCGAAGGTAAGTATGGCGTCGTGCTGGCGTTTCGCTCCTCAGGCCCGCCGTTATAATCCGCTGCCATCCGCCTTAAAGAGGCGCCGAGCGAGGTGCGGGTAGGAGCAGGCTCCTCGGCGGACGTGCGGCGGGCGCTGCGGGGCTGTTCTTTTGGTCGGCGGGGTGGGATTCCCCGGCAGACGCCGCCGGAGTTTTAGGCCGCCGCGGATTCACTCGCTTGGCAGGCCGGTTCCTTGCAGGGGGCTGCCGTATTGCACCGAAGAGGCGCGCGGCTCGGAGGAGGAACACGTGTCGCTGATCTTGGGTGTCTTGTGACGGGGACGGGGGGAAAACATCTCCGACCCAACAGGTCGTTTGAAAGGTTTTTCATCGGGAGGAGCTGTCGGCTTCTTAGCCGCACGTTCTTGAGTCCTTCCACGATCTTGCAAACGGTTCTCGCCCTCTGGGGTTGGTCGTGGCTACGTGGGAAACCCTTAACGCGTGTCTCAGGTGTTTCTCCAGGGTCGCGCTCTGCCCATCCTAATACTGTCTCTTCTAGGCCACGATTTCACCAGCCTCGATATGTGGCGTGTTTTGTGGATGGTCCTTGATTGGTGCATTGGGTTGGGTCTTTGAGCATGAGAAAAGGGTCGTGAGTTCAAGTCCGACCTGGGAATGTCTCTGTAGACCAGTTGGCCAGGAGTTCTTTGTGACTTTTGTCACCTCCTTAAAGCTTCTTTTTAATAGTCAGCTGACCTCTGATGCCTTATTTATGAAAAGCAGGAAAGTGCCAGTCGTGAAGTAGGCATTTTGTCTAAATATAATATTTTTAAACCTTTTCGACCAGTGGGGAAGAGTGTTGCTTGCGGGTTTTCCCATCCAGCAGGTTGTTATTCTGTTCTTATAATTCATTGAGGAGAAGGCTATCAGTGGCTACTAGCCATGATGGCTATGCTCTGCCTCCAGAGTTGGAGGCAGCAATGCTACTGACACAGGAGGGGAGAGGGCTCTTGTGTTTTGTTCCTGCATACAGGCTTCCCACAGGAATGTGGTTGGCCACTTTCAGAACAGGATGGTTCCAGCACGCCCTGGTGATATTCTTAAAACAAGCCATCCCTCTCCTCTTCTAGGAGGCTAGAGCTGTAATCCTACCTAAGCTTGTTTGGGAAAGCTATCATCAATTACTTTGGTGTTGTTATAAATAAATTTGCATTGGATCTGACTGTATCTAGCATAGACATCAGCTCAGGGGGTAAGCTTCATGTACATAAGCTAACTGAAGTACAGAGTTAAAAGACCAAAGGGAGACTGTGCAACATATCTAGAGTAGCATAGACACCAGTGGTTCCATGGGCACCATATATTTAATGCACATGGCTTCCCCCCAGAGATTCTGGGAACTAAAGTTTACTCCAGACAGAGCAAAATTCCCAGCACCCTTAAGCAACTACATTTCCCAGGGTTCTTTGGGGGAATTGGTGTGCTTTAAATGGTTGTGTACGCAGCCAATATTGCAACATAAGTTTTTGTGGACTAGTGTGCTTCATAATTGATAATTGCCACCACATACACGTGTGTGTGTGTGTGTGTATCAGAGAATATATCTGAAAGTTATGATAACACTAATGGAAGAGGCCTGTTATCATTAAAGAATGTGGTCTTTTGTTTTAGTTCCATGCTACTACTGTAGCTCGTGTTTGAGATTTCAGAATTATTCTTTATCCCAATGAAGCAATTCTGTATTGATTGTAACTGTTGTGCGGTGTTGAGGGCTAGAAACTTTTTTAAAACAAAAAACAAGCTTAAATGTCTTTTTCCATTGTGCGATGCTCCTTTCCTTTTTATTGCTTACGTTCTGCAAATTGCTAATGTTGATTTCTCTGCTTTCTAGATGGCGGGCGAGAAGAAAGCAAAGAGGGTTCGGAAGGTTCATGCCAGCCGCAACCCAGTGCTGGCCCGGGGGATCGGGAAGTATTCCCGGTCTGCCATGTATGCTCGGAAGGCCATGTACAAGCGCAAGTACAAAGCTCCAGAAACTAAGGTAGGGGGAACTAGCAATTGTTCAGAGCTCATAGTAGGTAGAGCTGCATAACTTAACAAGCTGCCATTTAGCATACAGAACATTTGCTGGCGTTCAGCTTAATGAAGGCTTTTTAAAAGGGCTAGAGAGATTTCATTCTTACCCTGCTGTTCAGTGGAAAAGGAGAAGGAATGAGGAATAATCCCAGCTCGGACACTGGCTCTTATAAGTGTTCTTCCTGTCGTGGGGAGGGGAGCAAGACCTCTGCAGCATTCTCTTTTTTGACCAATCGTTGGGCCCCTTACTGTGATGTACTTCCTGGGAGGCAGAGTGCACATCCTCCCAGTGGCTCTGGGTCTGATGGTAGATGCCAGAGTTTGCTTTCCTTTAATTCTGCAATTCCTGGGCAACTGATGAGGCTGAATGTTCTTCCACCGGTGAAGGGAGGAAGAGAGCTTGTAGTTGGACCTTCTGTGGCTGTTGAATCTCAATCAGGTTGGTCTCCCTGTAATAATAAATTCATATCTCAACAGCTGTTGGCCATGTTGGTGACATTGAACCTCCATATTTAAAGGCAATGTACCTCTGAACATCATGGGACGCGGGTGGCGCTGTGGGTAAAAGCCTCAGCGCCTAGGGCTTGCCGATCGAAAGGTCGGCGGTTCGAATCCCTGCGGCGGGGTGCGCTCCCGTTGTTCGGTCCCAGCG